TTCCTTCCGTGTTTATCAACAGAGTTTAGTAAAAACGTCATAGAGGTTTGATTTTTAGTTCAGGTCTATTAGACTTTAACAGTGAAGGAACAACTTGTGTTGTGTTTGATGACTGGAAGCCTCCCCTAACCCATGTTTCTGCCCTCATATGTTTGCATTTAAACTCTCCTAAATTAGTAGAAGTCATAAAGTGACTTTCAAAGAAGAAATTCAAGAAAGTGATTCTTTTCACTCGTTCCATTACGTAATGAAACTTTCCTAGTTTGGGCTGGATGGCACACTGCCTAGGGCAGAGCTGGCACTCAATATATTTTTGTTGAATGACTAAATGAATGAATGAGATCATCAAAGCATCTAGGGAAGTATATGAATTATTACGTTTTCAAGAAATTTATGATTCTTTTCCATATATATATGAAGTAATCTCAATTAGAGTTAATAGTTCTTTCAAGTAGCAATACTTTGGAAATATGTTTTAATGAATAGAAAGTAATAATATTTAATGAATGCATCGATCACCTTATACAAATAGATCTTTTTTAAGTAGAAGAAAAATTTACTATTTTAGTTTGTCTCTATTTATCTCTCTCTCTCTCATACACACACATTCTCTCTTTTAAAATAAAGAGTATGAAGGTAAACATCGGCCTTTCTCCATCTACATAATTCTAACTTCTGAGTTAGCGAATTAAATGAAGTTATATTGTGCCTAATTTTAATACTTTGCGTTTAAATTGGAATCCACACTGAGATATGAAGAGCAAATGATCACCAGCTTCTACATGTAGTAGCAGCCGGTGGGCAGACTGCACCACTTTGCAGAAAGAACACACAAACTCGTACAGATCCAGCTCTGAGCTGCTTCTCTAGTTGAGCAAATAATACTCCGTAAATCGCTTCTCAGGGGCCCTTCTTTATCCTCTTTTAGCTTACAGTGTTCTCAGGAAAAAGGATTGTTTCTCCAGCATCTTTCAACCCATTCCTCCCTAAAGAAGTCTGCAGTCTGATGAAGCTCCAATTCAGGCTCTCTCCACTGATGGAGTATCTTTGGGGAGAAAAAGGAGTATGGTAAGACGTGGTTCAAGATAACCATGGCCTCAAGGCACAGAGGTGCACTGGGCTGGAGGGAGGGGGATGAGGGGGGCCTTCATATTCACAGCCAGAATGTGGAATTTGGAATTAAGAAACCAAAATTCTAGGTCCAGTTCAATCACTAACTGAAATCTTCCTCCTCTGGATTTAAAAAAAAAATTCTTCAAACCTCCAGGTTTTAAAGGACCTCAAATATGATCCAGTCTGACTCAGGGGGAATCACCACTTCCTAGTGCAATAGGCTTGGGTTTCTTGGGTTGAAATCTCCTGTTTCGATAGTCTGATGCAGACAGTTAAAAATGAAGTAAACCGACGTGAACCGGGCCTGGCCTTGTTATCATTTCACTGCTTGGAGCGTCCATGCCCTGCATCAGAGGAGTCCGTCCTGGCTTTGCTTCTCTCCAAAAGATTGAGATTCTTATATTCTTTATTTTTTTTATTTTAAAAAATTATTTTATTGAGGTCATTATGGTTTATTACATTGTGTAGTTTCAGGTGTACATTATTATTTATCAGTTTCTGTATAGACTGCATCCTGCTCACTACCAACAGTCTAATTTTTTCCATCACCGTATATATGTGCCCCTCTGCTGCTTTTGCAACCCCCTCCAACCCCCTTCCCTTCTGGTAACCACTAATCTGTTCTCTTTATCTGTGTGTTTATCTTCCAAATATGAGTGAAATCATGCAGTGTTTCTCTGTCTGTCTGGCTTGTTTCACTTAACATCATAACCTCAAGGTCCATCCACATTGTTGCAAATGGGGCGATTTTGTCTTTTTTATGGCTGAGTAGTATTCTGTTGTATATACATACCACATCGTCTTTATCCATTCATTAGTTAAAGGGCACTTAGGTTGCTTCCACATCTTGGCTATTGTGAATAATGCTACAATGAACACAGGGGTGCACAAATCTCTTTGAATTGTTGATTTCTAGTTCTTTAGATAAATATCCAGTAGTGGGATACCTGGGTCATATGGTAGTTCTATTTTTAATTTTTTGAAAAATCTCCATACTATTTTCCATAGTGGCTGCACCAGTTTGCATTCCCACCAGCAGTGTATGAGGGGTCTCTTTTCTCCTCATCCTCTCCAACACTTTTTTATTTTTTGTCTTGTTAATTATAGACAATCAAAAAATGGGCAGAGGATATGAACAGACATTTTTCCAAAGAAGATATACAGATGGCCAAGAGGCACATGAAAAGATGTTGAACATCACTAATTATTAGGGAAGGCTTGCCTTCTTTCCCAACATATGGCCTATCTTTGAGAACATTCCATGTGCACTTGAGAAGAATGTGTATGCTGCTCTTTTTGGATGGAATGTTTTCTCTATATATATATCTATTAAGTCATCTGACCAAGTGTTTCATTTAAATCCACTATTTCCTCATTGACTTTCTGTCTGGATCGTCTACCCATTGATGTAAGTGGGGAGCTGAGGTCCCCTACTATTATTGTGTTGCTGTTAATTTCTCCCTTTAGGTCTGTTAAGTTGCTTTACATACTTTGGTGTTCCTGTGTTAGATGCATATACATTCATAAAGATTATGTCCTCTTGGTAGGAAATCCCTTTTATCATTTTATACTGCCCCTCTTTTTCTCTCTGTGCCTTTTTTATCTTGAAGTCTGCTTTGTCTGATATAAGTATGGCAACATCTGCTTTCTTTTGTTTGCCATTTGCTTGGAGTATCATCTTCCGTCCCTTCACTCTGAGCCTGTGTTTGTCTTTAGAGCTGAGATGTGTTTCTTGGAGGCGGTATATTGTTAGTCTTGTTTTTTAATCCATCCAGCTACTCTGCATCTTTTGATTGGAGAATTCAATCCATTTACATTTAGGGTGATTACTGACATAGGAGGGATTAATACTGCCATTTTATCTCGTTTTCTTGTTGTTCTGTATTTCTGTTGTTTCTCTTCCCTTGTATTTCTGACTGCCATTACAGTTTGGTGGTTTTCTCAGTTTTCTCTTTATTTATGAATTGTGTCTCTGCTCTGTTTTTTTGTTTAGTGGTTACCATGAAGTTTGTATAAAAGATTTCATAGATGAGATAGTCCATTTTCTGATAACTTCTTATTTCCATTAGCCTAAGCAAATCCCACACTTTTCCTCTTCCCCTTCTGAGTCATAGTTGTCACAAATTATTCTGTTTTGTGTTGTGAGTCTGTGATTAAATTAAAGTATTTATAGTTATTTTTTATGCTTTCTTTCCATTTATCTTTCATGTTATAATTAAGTGTTTGCTAACCTGTTCTGACAGAGAGCTGCAGTTTTCTTATTTTTTCTGTCTATTTATCTCATTGCTCAAAGCTTTGTAGACCTTTGCCTTTTCATTTCAGGTATGAGTGATTCCTTTGTTATTTCTTGTAAGGGAGGTCTACTGGCAATGAACTCCCTCAGCTTCTGTTTATCTGGGAAAGCTTTTATTTCTCCATCATATCTGAAGGATAGTTTCACTGGATAGAGCATTCTTGGCTAAAAGTTTTTGTCTTTCAGTATTCTGAATATATCATTCCATTCTCTCCTAGCTTGTAAGGTTTCTGTCAAGAAATCCACCAAAAGAGTGATAGGGGTTCCTTTGTAGATTGTTTTCTTCTGCCTTGGTGCCCTTAATATTTTTTGTCATTGACTTTTGCCAGTTTTACTATTATATACCTTGGATAAGGTCTTTTGCATTGATGTAATTAGGAGTTATATTGGCTTCATGTACTTGTAAGTTCAGTTCTTTCCCCAGGTTTGGGAAGTTCTCAGCTATTATTTCTTTGAACAAGCTCTCTGCTCCTTTCTTCCTCTCTTCTCCCTCTGGAATGCCTATAATCCTCATGTTGCTTTTCTGAATTCAGTCAGATATTTCTCAAAGAATTTCTCTGGTTTTTTTTAAATCTTAGTTCTTTCTTCCCTCCACCTGAAGAATTTCTACATTTCTATCCTCTAAATCACTAATTTTGTCCCCCATAATATCAGCTCTATTTTTTAAGGATTCTAGATTAATTTTTATCTCATTGCATTCTTCATATCCAGAATTTCTGGGGGTTTTTTATATAGTTTCAATCTCTTTGGTAAAGTATTTCTTATGCTCATTAATTTTATTCCTCAGCTCATTGAACCGTCTTTCTGAGTTTTCATGTAACTCATTGAGTTTCTTTTTGACAACTATTTTGAATTCTCTGTCATTTAGATTGTCAATTTCTGTGACTTCAGGGTTGTTTTCTGGAGCCTTGTCATTTTCCTTCTGCTCTGAATTGTTACTATAGTTTTTCATGGTGTTTGATGAACTTATCCTTTGCTGGTGCATTTGTGGTAGCACCACTTCACAGATTCCACCTGCTACTGCTGGGGGGAAGCAGGAGCCATGTTTCTGACCCCACCCCATCTGTTGTAAGTTGCGTGGGTACGGGGCATTCCCACAGGCCAGAACAGCATTTGCACATGCACCAAGCTGCTGCTCCCTCTGCTTACAGTCACACTGGCCACTCTGCTTGGTAGGTGGGGCTTCTTCACAGGGTCTAAGCTGGACCACTCACTGGGGCTGTGGCAGCACAGTGCGTGCTCCCACAGGCTGGGATAACATTTGCACATGCACACAAGGCTGCCCCTGGCTCCTCTTACAGTCAAGCCAAGCTGTGTTCCCACTGGCGGGGCCATGGCAGCACAGTGGGCACTCCCACAGGCCAGGACAGCATTCACATGCACGTACAGGGTTGCCATCAGCTCCTCTTACAATTACACCAGGGAACATTCTCACTGGTGGGGCTGCTGCAGCATGGTGTGTGCTCCTATATGCTGGGATAGCATTTACCCACAGTCTGGGCTGTCCCTATCTCCTCTTAGAGTAACACCAGCCACTGTATGAGGACCTGCAACCTGGCTCACTGATGCCAAGGAAGGGTAGGGGAGTGCTCACCTATCTCCACTGCTTCCTTGGGATCCAGTCCATCCACCTTCAGATGTATAGCTGCATGGGTTTCTCAGGCATCCTGTTGTACTGTGTGGGTATCCTCCATTGGTCAGTGAATATCCATTTCATTGTACTTCATAGGGAGAGAGACAAAGGGAGCAGCTCACTCTGCCACGTTGCTGACATCACATGAAAGATTGTGATTCTTGATGGGAAGGTTTCTTCCATCTTCACTGCTTTAGGATTCTGTAGTTATTTTGATGGATTAGACCAATGGTTATTGGTAATTGCAAGAAGCCAAAGCCAACCCTACAGCTAACACTATGAGATTCTTCTCACCCACTCCACTACTGTAAAAAAAATTTCAAATATAACCAGGTACATTTAAGAAGTGTTTGATAATAAGGGGTTCTGAGGGTTCATAGTAAGGAGCCAGTGAAAATTCCCAGAGCATTTGTTTGCAAGAAACAGAAACTCACTCCAGCTGGCTTACAAAATGAGAAATGGGCTCTAAGGTATACAGGTATTGCACACAACTTGTTCAACATGACCCTAACCCCAGGATGGACTGGTACTGAAAGCTGGGATGCCTTCCGGAACCCAGGCAGCTTCTCTCTGTACCCCTTTCTCTGGGGCCCTGTTTGTCATCTTGTCTCTGCTGTATGTCAGCCTCATTACCCTTGTTCTGCTGACAAACTTCTCTACCCACTCACATGCATGGCTCCCCATAATTAAAGTCTCAAGCCCTGATCCACATGACCTTTCAGTTCCCTCCACCATGGCTAATTGCTTCAGTTTTTATGTCTCTGTTCCCAATTTCTAAATCTCTCTGCATTTACCTGCTTGATTTTGCTCTCTACTGACCGCATCAAAATGACCGACTCAAACTGTAGTCTTCTCTCACGTATACACAGTCTCTGTGTTATAACTCACTAATTTAAATTCTGCACATAGCAAACATATAAATAGGTCTATTCAAGGTGTTTTGTAAAGTGTAGCTTATTACACTTTTAATATATGTAACGTTCATTTTGGAAAAGTTAGAAAGTACAAAGGAAGATACAAGGAACCCATAATCCAGGAAATTCTATCTATCTCCTTTGCATGTATAAATATAGACACTATTTTCACAAAATGAAATTATATTGCATTTCTTGTTCTGTGACCTTTTTTCACTCAATAACATATGGGGAGCATCTTTCAACTTATCATCCTTTCAAACTAAAGCACCTGAGTTCCAGGGAGGGTTCAGTCATTGGAAACATCCTTTCAAACTAAAGAAAAGGAGATTTTGATCCAGGAATGTTAGCTAATATTTTTGGAATATTTAACTTGCATTTTTCTGTCCTTTAGCTATATTAACTTACTTAACCTTCACAACAAGCCCATGAGGCGGGAACCATTATGATCTCTATTTTGTAGATGAATAAACCAAGACACAGAAAGGCTAAGTAACTTACCCAGAGTCACTCAGACAGAGAGTGTTAGCGCCATGCAGTCCAACAACAGAGTCACATTCTTAACCTCCACACTATAGCAACTATATATTCATGCTCTACTGTGTTCCAGTCTTTCCTCTCATACAGTTTTGGAGACAGGGAGGAGCCAGGGAGAAGAGAATATGAGAGAGAGATGGAGATGCATGGTGGAAAATAGGGAAATGGTGCAAAGAAGGAGCAAGATAGAAAAGCAAAAACAAAAAACAAAAATAAAATTAACATCATGGGAAAGTAAAATATTAGAGTGAACTCCATGAAATTGCCATTTTTTTGAGTCAAAAGCAATGGCTCAATTTACTAAATTCCATCACCAAAAATGTTCCTCACTTTTCAGCAATCATTAAGGAACAATATATATAAACATAATTAACCTTGGGACTTGGGTTGAATTATTAAGCAAAGAATCAAAATACTACTGAAAGTTAAAAGTTCCTAGAAGGCCAACTTACAGTCTTTATTTGATCACCCAGTGAATCAGATCAAATTGAACTATAATTACATAATTTACATAAGAAGTGAGCATCAGGCACCTGATACAGGGCCTCCCTTCATATTTAATCTAAGGCAGTGGTTCTTTAAGGGTAGTAGCATTAACATCACCTAGGAACTTGTTAGAAATGCAGATTTTCAGGCACATGCCAGAATCAGAGTGCGGTAGGTTCACCCATCTATATTTAACAAACCCCCTCTGGTGATCTGATCCACACTAGTTTGAGAACAATGATCTAAGGCAAAAGATGGTGCAGTTGTGAGAACTGGGCATTTTAAACCAACTAAATGCCTCTCTTGGTTTTCCACTACTTTCAGAGACATTTTATGCTCCTTTCCCCCAGGTATACCTGTGCTTGGGCTGACAAGTGACCAAATTACCAGCACCCTGGTCTCTGGAGAGACTGGTGAGTTTGTCCACATGTGGGATATTTCCAACTACTGGACACTCCCTGGAGCTCAGGTGCTTTTGTCTGGAAAAGAATGAAGTCATCAGAGTTGAGTTTCTTGGAAGGACTACCATAGAAATAGAATATATAACTTCCAAAAGAGTAGAGAGAGGGAAGAAACAGATTAAAGAAAATTCACTTAACTAAAGGAAGTCAGGAATAGAGGAGGCAGGAGCAGAGAAAAAGTATAATAAATAGAAAAAAACCCAATATGGACATTAGACCAAATAGATCTCAATCAGAATAAAAATACATGGATTATACTAGAAAAATACTGATCAAAATGAAGATGTTCTAACCATATAAATGTCAGGTGGAGCAGACTTTAAAGTAAAAATATTATTTAGAGACAAGGAACGTTATCACACAATATACAAGATAAATACAAGAAGCCAGAGACAAAAACATCAACATAGCCTCAAAATGTTAGGTGAGACATATGAAATTTGTCAGTATTTGATTGGCCTACAAAAGCAGTAATTTCATTTAAGTAAAAGTCAATAGAATAAGGAAAAATTGAGTTTCTTAAAGTGCGATTTTAACATTCATCTGTTAGAAACTGATTGATCAAGTGATCAAAAAATTAATAATGATATTGGATATTTGAATAGCATTATTCTGACACTTTATAAAATCCACATATTTAGAACTTTATCTCAACTCTTAGATAATCTGCATTCTTTTCAAATTTTCAGGGAGTATTTCCAAAAATTGAGCACATACGAGGCCATAAAGGATGTCTCGATAAATATCAAAGGGTTGATCAAACATATGGATTATATTCTCTGACCATAATGCAATAAAATGAGAACTGCCTTCCAAAAAAAAAAATAGCCAAACACTCTTGTATATTTGGAAACTAAAAATGGTTCTAAATTATTCATGGGTCAAAGAGAAAATCATGATAGAAATTAAAAATAATACCAAACTGGTTTATCATGATCTGATTTTCCCCATTTTATTCAGTAAATGTGATTTAACATCTGATAATACCAGTAAAGCTAATTTGGCAGGCCTCAGGAACAAAAAAGCCTAGCTTTTAGTGGGAAAAAACTACAAAGTCTTAATAAATGGCTTATTTCACCCATTTGTCCACAGATTTTGTGTCTGATTTTATTCAGTATTTCCTCCATTTTATTCCCCAGGGCCCATCTAAGAAGTACCCCTTCCTTCACAGTTGAAAGGCCCACAGAAGCATCATTACTTGTGTAGAATACTTCTCATGTGGCCCCAACACTGCCATCATCCCAGGCTCTTCTGAACAAACCCACAAACTGTGGACTGCTGAGGGAACACCCAGGGGGATATCTGGAGAGACAATCAAATGGCATCTCAAAATACCAACTGCTTTCATTTACCACAGGTAGGTTCCCCATCCATACTGTCACACCTTGCTTGACCCTGGCAGGCAATCTTGTTGACATAGGCATCTCCCCTACTCATGGACGTGGCCAGATCCGATCACATCTCCTCAGAGTTCCAGAGAAATGGAAGCACAGGAACAAGCAATTGCTTAGAACAGCATCTGCTTCCAAGTCAGAGCAGAGGAATGTATTTTGCTTCTCTGCGCAGTCCCCAGTCTGAGTATAACACATCTTTAAAATGTCACATGCATTAGAACACAAAGTAGACAACGTGTAGAGGTAAGAAAGCTAAAATCTCTTCTCTAGGACTCCAGTAAAAAAGGCCTAGGAGTTCCATCTGCAGCATTCTTCCAGAAACCTCATAATGTCAACATTCTGAGGGAGGCTAGAGCCTCAGAATCAGAGTCTAGGATGCCAGAGAAAGGATGGAGAGGAATCCCCATGAATCCTGGGATTTTGTATAAGGACAAAGGCTAAGAAGTAGAAAATAAAGAGTGAATTCCTGTCAACACTGTTGAATCTGAACACCATCCTAAGAATGTCTCATTTCAGCAATTGGAAGGTCTCCCAAGTAAGCAAAAACTTGATGTCATATGACAATGTCAGGTAATGAGCTCATCTTTCTCTTCCTTTATGTCACCAGGGACAAGATCTGGGTGTCAGCAGCACAGCCTTTCTTAGGCAGAGAGTTTGGCCAATCTGTCAACCAGTATTTTAACAACATGGATAAGGAAACTATTAAATAAAAATGAATGTCTTTGCAGTAGGGTAGAGGAGATATGGATATTTTTCATTCTGTATTAATTTCCTTTAATTTTATTATATAAAAAATTGTTTAATAAGTAAAAGTAATAATTGGATTAGATTAAATGCATTCACCACCCGTACTATGATTCAGTGGCTCAGAGGCAAACATCCAGTGTAAAGGGTCAATCGTGTAAGGAAGTCAAGGAGAGGGCGTCAGACTTTACATAGAACACTCAGAGGTATCGAAAAAGTGAAGCTCATCATTTATCATCTACAACCCTCTTACTCTGGAGTTCCCGCTCCTCCTAATGGCAGAGAAAAACAGAGAACTTACTCTGTTCCTATCTGAAACATTTCACTTTGACATTAACTCAGCCTCATTTGGGTAAATACCCAGTCAATTCAAAGGCTGTTTCTTCCCTCTCTCAAGGGGTCACTTCTCCTTCCTGACATGGTGTCTGGGTGCAGAGGGAAGCTGACATATCCTTGTGGCAGGGGTCCTTGGTGTTCTTGGTGTCCTCACTTTATGGACTGGTCTTGTTCCTAAATGTCCTGGTCTGGTATTTACTTAGGTGTGGCTGATCTCACTGTCCTCCATGGGCATCCTGCTGGCATCTGCTGCTGAAACCCAAGGTCCCTGTGGCCCCTCAAATCACCAGGTCTTTGTGCTTTGTGGCCTCTTGCTTCTTTGCCCTGACCACAGGCCTGTGCTAGGACACAGCTGCTCTCAGCACCTCGGCATCCTCTCACCAGGGCAGACAGGAACTACAGGCCATGAAGAACCCTCTACCCTGGCTGTTCCACCTCCTCCAAACCATGGTAGACGCAAGGAGAAAGCAGGGGTGAGCCAAGATGTACTGAGTCTCTGTCAAACCATCTGGGGTTTCTGTGAGGATTTCTAACGTCTCTTTACACCCTCCCCCAATTTTGCTTAAGCCTGGTGGGTGGCAGAATGGGAAGCTGAAGGGAAGAAGCAGTCACTTCTCAGCGGCCAGGCTTTGATATGCTTCCTAGTTTTACCCCTCAGAACAGCCCTCCCATCTCCTGTGGCAATGCTTTCTACTTCCTCTTCCTATCTGGGGGAAATTTCCCATAAGTCTTTTCCTCTGCTTGCTCTGCTCTATTGCTTTGATCCTACTTGATCTGGCTTGGCTCTTTACATGGTAAATGAAACCTCTAGGAATTTAGAAAGCTCCTTCTATCTTCACAAAGCCTGATTTCTACCTTGCTGTGGATTCAAAATACTATCTTGAGATTAGGACCTTAAAACTGACTCCATCTTCTTTGCTTTCCGCTTTAACAATCTTCGTTTTCTCCAATATAATGGAAGCCACATCAGCCAATGACTTACTCAATGTAAGATAAATCAAAGTGGTTTTACAAAGGTATGGGAGAAGTATAGCAGAACTGCAAGAAACAGCGGATTGGTCTGGGGCTAGTGTCAGTGGAATCATTACCACCCCTAGGTCCAAGACCTGACGATCTGAGAGAAGGGTTAGCAAACCCAGAAAGAGAAAATATGTAGAGAGAACCAGTAACCTTCAGTTAGGGTCTCAGCAGGCTCAGGGCAACCCCTCAGGGAAGGAACCAGCCGGAGGAATAAATACTGACATCATTATCCTCCCTTCTTTTGATCTCCTACTGGAGCATCCCATTGGCCACATCTAACTGGATGCCAGAGGCAAGGGAGTCCATTGATATAACCCAACCAGTCAGCTTCGGGATAGAGAAGAGTAGAGGGTGGATGTGAGAGAAAACAGAAGATATCCAGCCAAAAAGCTTTTCTCTGAAAGGGCAATGGGGAATGGATCAAGTACAACAGTGTGTGAAAAATAAATTTCATTGGCATTTTTCAAAAATATTATATCCCTATAACATATGTCTGTTTTATCCATAGTTTAATTTCTGTCCATTAAAGTATATATTTCAGTTAGATGCCCTCTAAATTGCAAAGTGTTCTGATAATGATAACAATAGCTAGCCCTGAGTGCTTTCTGTATGCCAAGCGCTGTGAAAAAACTTTTTGGCAACGTTATTTAATCCTCAAAAGAACTTTCTGGAGTAAGCATTATTATTATCATCTCCATTTTACAGACGGGGAAAACAGAGACTAAAAGAGCTAAAGTATTTGTCCGAGGTCATACAAGCTAGTCAAGAGTCCATATAAGATCTAAGACCAGGCTCTCTAAGAGGGGCAGGGAGCTGGGAACAGTGAGGGAGAAGTGGAGAGATAACATCCTATCTTGTCATTGGCTGCTTCTAAGTCATAGCTGATGGTTGCCGTCTGGAATGGTGGGGGCCTCATGTCACCAGATCTGTTTTTTCAAGAGAAGCTTGTCATCTCCATTGGAGAGGAAAGGTCCCTATTTTTTAATTTAATTGTTCAATTTAAATTTTTCATTCAATTTGAAAAATGGGTAAGTTAAAGTAAACACCCTAGGAGCTTCGAGTTTGCAAACTTTGTTAGACTGTAACAGAGAAACCCCACCCCAGTACCCCAGCACCCTTCACCCATGGCTGTAATACCTGTCAACAGCCTTTACAGGGTTACAAACCAAGAATGTGTTTCCTGTCAAACTGACAGCCATCATGTTTGTAAGTTTCATGATAATAATATGATGGACTATTTGTGGTTACCAGCATGAATTAAGTATCAGGCTAAGAACTTTACATGTGTCATATCATTTAATCTTCACGACAAGCCTGCAATTTATGTGTGTATCATAACCCACTTTTTACAGATGAAAATGCTGGGATCAAAGATGCTAAGTCCTAAGCCTAAAGTCACAAAATAGAAAACAGCCGAGCTAAGACTCAACTCAGGCCTCTGAATCCAAAACTTAAGCTTTTTCTACCAAAAGGAGAAGACTTTCCCCTGCACAACTCTGAGATTCTAGGCACACAAACAGCAACCCACTGGGCAATCTATTCTTCCAAGTCAGGTACCAGCGATAACATCGAGATAATGAATTTTGCATTGTAGGCTGCTCACCAACCATCCAAATATTGTGCTTCCTAAAGGTACCATGGACACCTTTAGAACACCAAACAGAAATGAGATAAGCAAAGCAAAGAGTGGGAGAGAGTGTACTCAAAAGTGGGCAGGCTGGTGGAAAAACAAACAGAATCTGCTGAAAATTAATAGGAAGGCAGAGATTCAGCTGAAGAAATACTAAGAGGTGCCTTAGTTCATTTTTTTATACCTGATTTACAAAGAAAATGTCATTTTTAAAGAGCAGCTTTAAAAAAAAATAGGTTCCACTTGCTAGAACTCAAAGGACAATATTGATAAGTCAGTTGTATCATCCCTAGGGATGCCTTCTGAGCCCCAGCACTTCCTTCTCTCCCTGAATCATAATTCTTGTCCTCCTGTCTGGATGTTTCTGCCATCCATCTCAGTACAAGCAGCTCTCAGATTCCCTGCACCTACCCCGCCTCTAGCATTTTTATTTTCATATAGGAATAAAGTCTGATCAGACAAGAAGTTGCAAAGGAGAAAATCCATGGTTACACATTTCCATATGCTGTGCCATTCACTAGATTTACCGCCAACCCTTGAGTCATCTCTAATTTCCCCAAGTTTTGTTGTCTCAAGCTCCATCACATGTTCGTCCAAATGTTTCTATCATTACTTCTAAAGTTATAACAATAAATTGTAAAGTTTGCCTTTTCAAGAGACTTCCAGTGCCAAGAGACTTCTTCATTTCTACACAGAGCTTAGTAACAGGTCTCTCCAATGTGTTCAAAACAGATTTCCATTCTCCACCTTCCCGCAAAACAGTCGTGCCTCCCCTAGGATCGCTCCTTCTCTGTGAGTAGCACCACCATCCACCCTGCTGCACAGGTCAAAACACCAGCTGGTCTCTTGAGTCTTCCTTTCCCTCATCCCCTCTGGCCAATGCATCAGCAGGTCTTGTCAAGTCTACCTCCAAAACCTCTCGAGCCCACCTTCTGCCTCCATCTCCAATGGTGGTATCACCGGTGCAAGCCCCCGTCCCCTCACCTGGCCTGATGCACCGCCCCCACCTGCCTTCCTGCTTCCCCTTACCCCTCTCTCTCCAATCTGTTCTTCACAGATAAACCAGCTTAATCCTCATAAAATGCAAATCCAAGCACAGCATTTTCTCCTGCTTTTCTGTTGCTTCTAGAATAAAATCTAAAATCCTGAACATTTCCCATGAGGCCCTCCCTCCAGCCTCATCTCATGCCACCTTCCCGGTCTCTGTGTCCTCTAACCACACTGGCTTGTTTTCTCTTCCTCAAATATTTCAAGCCCTTGACTGTCTGAAAACTTTTACAATTGCTGTTTGCTCTGCCTGGAACACGCATCTCCCAGTTTCTATTTGAATGGCTTGTTCTTATCCTTCAGATCTCTGCTCCTAGTTCTTTTGCCCAAAGAGCCTTTTCCCAATTCAAAAGGTGGTCCTTGACAGTTACTCTCTCTATCTCCCTTGTTTATTTCCCTCTGGCACCTTTCACAAACTACAATTACTTTACTTAAATATTTACTTACTATCTTTTTGCCACTCTACTCTGAACACCTAGCAGAGAGTATGGAACACGAGAGGGAAAAAAGAGTGTTGAAGGAATAGAGCCCACAGACAGCCTCCTACAGCTCTGATAAATCATATATCAGAGTCAAAGTAAAGGAAGAAATGTCACTGCCTCGTGTGTGAAAGCAAACAGCCAGTTAAACTTATAAAAATATGCTTTTAGTTAAGATCACAGAAGATATTTTCTAACAGATTATGCTGAGCTGGGGAGCGAGATGCAAAGATAATAAACACATTTAATTTGAAACAGATGGAAATCTGGTCAATTCCCCACTGCTTCCTTGACTTGGGACCCTTTAAAAAGTATACTCTTCTCTTCAACTTTTTATGAGTATAATTTTTCTATGCCAGTATGTGCTCTCATGGAGGACATCCCCAGCTCCCTAGCAGTCACTTGATGTCCCTATTCATCTTGCCAAGGCAAGGCTTAATTGAGTCCTGCAGGCCCACACTCATTTGCGTATCTCCCTAGATTTGGTTGATGGTAATGTTTAGCTACAACTTTATACATGGGCATCCCCAAGTAAGTGCAATCACTTTAAGATCCTTGAATAGGGCACTAGAGACATGTATAATAACATATTTATTGAGTGCAGATTTCCTTAATGTGCCAAAATATGCCTTAGGGTTGTCGGTTCAAATGTTACACACAACTTGCTAGAAAAATTGGAGGTATCTAGTGATTAGACACAGAGCAGATGGTCTTCTAAGCTTAAGAATTTTGTTTTTCTAAAAACTGCTCAGCTACTCGCAACAGTGCTTCACATAAGCTGCTTGAGTTGGATCTTTTGAGAAGAGCAGGAGAACCCATCATAAACGAAAGAGTGGCTTCAGAAACCACAACTTCAGAAACCAAGTTTTAAATTCGTAAAAGAAAAACAATGCACTTCTTTTGTATTTGTGTGGCATGAAGAAAATTTCAGGTTTCTGTTCAATATCAGCAAGGATAGTTCAATAACTTGTGTTAACTTAAGGCTCCCAGAAGAGACACTGTTATTTCTAAGTCCTTAACTGTTCTTTTCTAATTATCACCTCCAGGTTGCTGGTTCAGATTAAGTTTCTTTGGCTTTCAGGGGAAAAATTAAACCCACCAGAGATGCTACCACTTAGTGCTTCTGCAGATGGGCTAACCGCAAAATGCCAAAGCAAAATCCTGTCCTGCTTTCTGAGCTCTTACTGTGGCAGGACACTCTTAACAAATCCCAGACACAACCATCATGGATACAGAAGCACCCCCTTTACTTTCTGCTGCTAACTAACTCGGGTCATCAGTGTGGATCTGGGGTTTATTGAACATGCCCCTCCGTTCTGACTCTCCCTTCCACAGAGTTAATATTTTTTAATCCAGTGTCTTTTGTTCCCCTCCACCTTGACCCAGTACGCTGTCATCTGTCCATCCATCCATCCATCAAATATGGATCGAGCATCTATCTCCTGCCAGATACAGTGCTACATTCTAGAAATACATTGGTGAACAAGATAGACTGCATGACCTTATGGAATGTAAAATCTAATAGTGGAGATAGGCATAAAAACTGACCATTTATTGCACAGTTGGTCATTACTAGAATGGAGATACTTGAAAGGTGCTGGGGACCAGACGGAGGGCAGGTCTACATCTAAGCATGGGGGTTGGAGGGTGTCATGAACAGCACCAAAGAGGAAGTGAGAAGTAGGAGTTCCCCAAGAGGATGGGAGTGCAGAGGTGGGAAGGAGGTAAAGCGTTACAGTCTAGGCAGAGGGAGAGTTACAGAAGCCTGTGAGCCCACAGCATTTCCAGAGCACTAGGATGGTTCTGCTGGTGACACAGCACTAAGGGGAGAGTGGAAGAGAGGATGAAGAAGTGAGCGAGGTCAGATCAGGAAGGACCTGGTGGGTCTTGCCAAGAGAGATGACTTGGATGTTCGAGAGTCACTGAAGAATTATGTTTAGTTCTCCTCAAAATATAAGCAAATAATTTATATAAGGGAAAATGGCGGGGGGGGGGGGGAAACAGAAAACAGTTTGATGTGAGGTAGATTAATCCTACTCCATAAAAATGAAATACTAGCTCTTAGATGTAGATAGATAGATAGATATATACACACACACACACACACGTTTTTTATGTCACCACTGGAATATTATATGTGGAACCCTATTCTCCAATTGTCCTACTGCTTGAGAGATATTCCCACCCTTCTCTCATTACTACTATATGTAAGAATAAGCTGACAGCTTCAATTTATTTTCTTTCTAGATTAAGTAATTTTTCATGAAGTTGGGAGTTCCAGTTAAGCTCCTTCCTCTTATGACTACATGCTGGGCCACTCATTTGGGGGTTGTTCAATCACTCAGAACATCACACCTAATGGTGGGGGTTTTTTTATGTTTAGAGTTTCCTGTGAGAGGAAGAAGTGGAATAAAAAGCAAGAGGATCTGCCTAAAGAGCAGCCTTCGCCTCACGGTCCGATGCTGCAGAAGAGGAAAGGTGCCCAGATCATTGAGGACAAGAGTAAGGAGACAGGAGATGACAAGACTGCTGAGGAAGGTCCTTCTCTCGGCAAGACAGATCCACGAAAAGATACCAAGGGTAAGGCCAGCCCAGGGTTATGGACCCAGTCCTAGTGCATTTGCAGGTATCCTTTGGCTTTATAAAATGGAGTCCTGGAGCTGGAGCCTCCTGGGGCAACGGCAGGGTTGATGGGATAGAACTAATAGGAAAAATGATAGGAAAACAAATTAAAGTTGCAAACAGTTCTGCAGAGCCATCACTATATATAACCGAACTTCTGGCTCAAAAGCTCTCTTTTCCATATTTAGGTACTTTCTGGTATGGGGCCAGAGAGGACTGCTTCCAATGAAACCAAAGGTCATGCATGCCAATTAGCTCAATGGCCACATTCTGTGTCCTGGGTCACAGAGAGTCAGCCTCATCTTCTCAGTGAGAGAATCTGATTCTTGGAAGGAAAGGGAGAGATCACCATCTCCAGGGTTGGCTTCGTTCTGGCCAAGGGCCCACGACCCCTGTCCCAATTCATTGCCCTTACTTCTGCTAAGTTGGGCTCTTCCACATTGGATTCAGTGTCTAAGCTCAGGGAAGCACATACCTGAGCCCCAGGCATATCCCATTAAGGCAAGGAACAGCCACTTGCCAATGAGATAGCTCTTCAAGAATGAGGAACAAATCACTTAGCACCAATGACAGATGTCTTCAGACCAGGGAGCATTGGCCATGTACCTGATCCACAGAATGGCAACTGAGCTGACTGGAGCATGTGTTTTTCTTCCTCCTTTTGTAAATTCTTTCTCTTTTCTCCCCCTCCTTCTCGCTTCTCCTCTGCCTAACCTCTTCTTACCCAAGGAATGACTTATCCTTGCCTATGACTCTCAAAGCTTTAGTATTCCAACTCTGGGTTAAATGTATGGAGTAGCCTGTACTGCCTATGCCCAGAGAGCTAGGGAAGGCATAAGGCAAGTCATCTTTGTATTTCCATCTCTTTCTCTAGCTAAAGAAATCAAACCTTTTACAAATACATCTACATGATGTTTCTGCTAAGTATGCTTCATTGATAGGGGGAGAAGCAAGGGGGATGTTTTTAAGGTGAAAAGTTATCTTTAAGCCTCACCAACTAACTGGAAGATCTAACCTTTTGTAATCATTAACACAGAGCTATCACTTACTCCAGGTGCTAAACAGAGTGACAAATTCCAGTTGCCAGAAGGGGATACATAAATTCTCCTAATTACCTCTAGAGTCCTAATCACACAGGACCAGAAAGGGTTTTGAGTTATGTGGACACTGCTCACTTTTTGAAAATCACAGTTTCAATTCCCTAAAAGACTTCTTGGTTTGCACACTCGGGCCAGTGAAAGCTGTGAAGATGTGAATCAGCTAAGACAGAGTTTGGAAAATGGGTCTTTTACAAAGCTTGGTCTTGTTCCCCAGGACTGATACTAGTAATTAAGGAGAATTGTAGGGTAAGGAAAAAGCAGAGAAGAGATATAGCAAAGTAGAAGAGAGAAGGGAGACCCTTTATCTTAGGATAAAGGCCTCAGCCTTGAAGCAAAGCAAGTACAAAATCTTCATCGCTGACAGGGTTCAGAGGCTGTAAACTTCAAAGGCATGTAAGAGAACCTTCTGGCCTCCTTCTGTCTCCTAGCTCAGCTAATTTCTGAGAGTCTGCACATGAGCCTACAGCTCTCCCAGACACCTCTACCCAACCACATGATTCTCCCCCACCCTTCCAACCTCCCCAATTTATATTCTTCTCCAGTTCTGTTTAGACATCAAAGTCTCCTTTGCTTTTTTCACCTTCCTTTCATGCAGCAACAATTTATACAAAGTCAGCTAAGTGATGAGAACTTTAGGGAGCACCTAGGATACAAACATGGATTCATTCTTACATTCAGCGAATATTTGTTGAGCACCCACCCTGGGTGAGGCACTGTTCCAGGTGCTGAAAATACCTCGGTCAATAACACCGATAAAGATGATCAAAGACACTAACGCAGTGAATGCATTAAGGGGCCCCATTCCATTCGCCTATTCATCTCCAGCCTTCTAGAATAATGTTGGGGGAGGGTAAATTAGAATACCACTCCCACCACTTATCGTCTAGTCTGGGCCAAATAAGTCATCTCAGGAGAATGTCAGTGCTTGCTTCCTAAGAAAGTAGTGCTTTGGAAGCTTTGGAAGCATTTATCCTGGGAGCCTGCAGTTCAGAATACACAGACTGCACCCATGTGAACCCGTCTGTTTCTTATTTTCCTCCCACTTGAAAGTGATTAGGATTTTCTTCCATTTAGGGGTTTCTACCCACTTCTGACCCTGAAAGGCTCAGGAAATTACAAAGCAAGTTTTCCAACAGATGCTTTTACCAGAGTCAGACAGTCCTACACAGCTGCCAATTTGCTCTCTCTACATCTTGCAAGCCTGACGCATTATGAAGTAAAAGAGGCCTGAACTGGATGGCCCTGCTTTCTTGTGGAACATCCAGCTGCAAAAGCCAGGTTCACTTTCACTGTCTGATGTGACACTCCTAAATCCATGGAGGTTCTGACAGGCAAGAGATCCTGGCAGGAAATATTCATAGATATAAGATGAAAGATTGACAGTGGAGTGGCGGAGTGTGTGCGTGTGTGAGTGAGAGAGAGGGAGATTGATTCAGAAATGTCTAAAAAGAAATGGGCTTGTTGGGAAATGTGTGGTTTTCACAGTAATTTTTGGAATCTCAGTGGAGAGAATAGCGGGGGGTGACTGTATCTAAAGAATCCACAGCCACTCCCCAATCAGAAAGCCATGTGTTGTATGAAATCTGAACCACAGCTCTTGCATGTAACCCGCCTCTGCTCGGGGGTGTCTGGGGAGATTTGGAAGATTGTAGATCAAAGGGAGAGCTGGCTCCAATTTGTCAGAGTCAGGGAAACACATCATTCAGACCAATATTGGGTAACTGTACATCCTGCCTTAACATGCTCACCAAGACTAGATGGTTTAGCAGAGCATGACTTGTTTTTTTTCTGAAAGGAACAGATGATTGAGACAGAAAGGAACATAGATAGAGCAAAGTCTCAGCAACAATGAAGGGTCCGCCACTTACAGGCTGTGTGAATTTGGTCAACTTGTTCCAGATCTTGGTGTCTTGGTTCTCCTTTGTGCAAAATGGAACTCATCATACTCAGAGCATCAAAGAATCACAAAGTTGGGACAGATCTTAAAGGTCGTAGAATGAGCACTAAGAGCCTGACACATAGTAGGCACTAAACAGTCCTTTAATTCATCAATGAAGTAATTGAGTGAAGGAATCAACATATGAATGTGTGCTGGGATCCCTGTTCAACATCTCTACTAGCAGTAGTTCAATCCTTGCTTAAATACCACCAGTGATGGGACCATCTACTGAAATAAGTCACACTCATCTCAGCTAACAGCTGTGACTGTTAGCATTATGTGCAAATCCACATCCAAACCTAAATCCAAACCTGCCTCCCAAAAGCTTCCATCATTTGTTCCAATTCCACCTATTGGGGCTGAGTCAAATGAGTTTTATCCCTCTTCTACATGGCAGCCCTTCAGATATTTGAAGATAACTCCCGTGTCCCCCGTTGGTTCATTCTTCTTCAGTCTAGTTATTCTCACCTCCTCCAGTCATACCCCAAATAAAGAGAGCTTTAGGATTTTAGTCTTCTGCATCATCCTCATCACTCTCCTCTGTATGAGCTACAGTTGCCCTTGAGCTGAATGCAGGGATTCAGCTGTGATTGGACCAGGAAGAGAAAAGTGGGTCTGTCCTCTTCTTGTTCCAGATCCTGTATCTATGGATACAGGCAATGGCCTTGCTGGCATATACACTGGCTACAGCCCACTCATCTTACCCCAAATCTTCACATATTTTTTAGATCTCAAACAGACCTCAAAATCAGGTAAGGAGTACTCAAAGACAGAGCAACTCCTTCTTGGGTCTTCTCTGCCTCCAACAAAATTAGACACATGAGCGAAGCCCAATGAGCGATTTGCTGTTCTGGTCACATTCTATTTCAACTACCCTATTCCCTATCCCATACCTTTACCCATACTTCCTGTGAGTCAGTACTGAAGAAGAAAGGTGTCCCTGTCCTTCCCCTCTCACTGATTACAGTTCTATAAAAGGATCCTTAAATTATAATAAAGGTGTTGAATTATTCCTTGCATATGTTAACATTGGACAGTTTACCAAGTATTTTCAATTACCTCGGGGGTGGTGTACCTCATGAAATCAATTTTTATATTTAGAATTGCATCTGACCTGAAGGGATGAAAAGAAAAAAACTCCACCAACAGAAAGAGGAGTGTATTTCCCCCATGTTACAAGGTGTCTGGAGGAAGGCAGTGCAGGGCTGCATGATGGCATCAGAAACCCAAGCCATTCATATAGCTTTCTACTTCTCCTTATCTTCATGTTCATGAGATGGCTGCTCACCTCTGTGCATCACACTCATTCCAGGCAGGAAAAGGACAAGTGGGTGAAGAGAAAAAGAGAAAGGTACCTTCTAGCTGAGTACTAGAAAACAATAACTTTCCAAGACACCTATTCCCCAGCAATAGATTTTCACACACACACACACACTGGAAAAGCTGGAAGTAAAGGTTAGCTGTTCTCTAAGGAAGGGCAACTCTAATTAACCATGATGGTCTGATTTCTGGATCTGATCAGAAACGTAAGCCAGCATCCTCTCAACAGGAGCAAAGCAGATGGTTGTCACTGTGTGACCACAGCCATGTCTCTCTTTCTCAAGGCTTTTTTGATGTCCAGTAAATTGGCCTTTGTGCTCCCAATTCTGATTAAGAGAGTCTTCCTCAGCCCTTCTCCTGTGCATAATTTATGTGTCAAATTGGGGGCACAGCTTAGAGTGTGGATCTGAAAAGATGTCCTTTCAGGTAACGTCTGCAGCATGACGGAGTGAGCTGTTCCCTTTATCTCTCCCCTGTCAAACTACAACTAAATGGACATTCATTGATCAATGGAGGATACCCACACAACACAACAGAACGCCTGAGAGACCCACGCAGTTATACATCTGAAGGTGGATGGACTACCCCCAGGGAGGTGG